AAAGCAAACAGAACTTTGAAAATTAGACTTTGAGTGCAAGAAGATGAATTTAAACAGGTTTACTGGAAAAAGAAATCTCAAACTTTGCAAGCAAGAGATGTTGTTATATGCATAATTCTGTGTATGTGATTTTAATTTAATGATTGTAGTTCACCAACAGAAGTGTCCAAGAACAGGGCTTGGAGCACCCAGCTCTAGCAGAAGGTGTCCCAAGGCTGAGGCCTGGAATGAGAAGACCTTTAAGGCCACTCCAGCATGAAAGCAGTGTGGGCAGGTGGGATGGCAGCCTTCCCCCTCGCTCACCTGTCGCTGCTGTGCCGCTGCTCGTTCCAGGTGCCGTACTGGCTGTCGGGCTCCTGCACCAGCGTGTCCGTGTCCTTCGCCCCCGGAGGCTGCCTGGAGAAGCATTTTCTCAGCTGGTCCTGCAAAAAACACCTCCAGTCAGTGCTCCAGCCCCTGGCTGAGGGATTAACAGGTTTTACTGGCAATAATGGCTTGGAATCTGACAGTTAAACTCAGCTGGGAAATGAACTTGAACACGAAGAACTGCTGTGGAGTCGGAGCGACAATTCTCTGTGCAGTAATTCTCTGAACAATAATTACAGTAATTGTTTTCCTGGGCAAATAAAGGATCCCAGAGGTTGGAGATGACTCCCTGGTTTCAGGAACTCCACGCTGCTTTAATATTGTTCTTATCTCAGGTTGCACAGAGCTTCTCAAAGCACCTATGCAAGCACAAGGAATTGTGCTGGGAATGATATTTCATCTCCTCAAGCACAGCAGGCAAACATCAACTCCACTGCTCTTTTCCTGAGTTTAATAAGATGAACCTTTTTTTTTTTTTTTTTTTGCAAGCTTTCTTTGGAAGACATTCAAAATAAAATGCATAAATACATAAATAAATAAATAACCACAGGGCCAGACACAAAAAGCCTTCTCCAAACAGATGTAACATCCAAACCCAACCCAGGACAGACCACAGTGGGTTTGCTTCGTTTTACTCTGACCTCTCCTTTCCTGACTGCTGTTATTCCATGGATCTGCTGCTTTCCTAAGAAGGAATGAGTGGATCCCAGGCTCTCAGTGTTCCAGGGAGAGAAGTGGGTCAGTGCTGGCACCCCAGATTTGCAGCACACCAATGTCAACCCAGCCCTGCAGTTGTGCAGAGCTATTCAAGGAGCTTGAAGAGCTCCTGAAATCCTACACTGGGAGCAGATAATTAACTGTTGGTCTCTTTCACCTTCATTACCCTGAACAAATACAAACATGGCTTTCAGCTCCAGATCAGTTTTGCTTATCAAGATTTTATCTGACAGCAAATTACATGGTTTTCCACCTGCCCTTGGAAAAATGCAAGGATTTTTCTCCCTTTGCAAGTACCCTCTGCCTCCAGCTCACTGAGCAGAACACGTTGCTGGACTAGAACACAACTCTTCCTTTTCAGGCAGCATGCACAAAGAAACAATAATTAAGAAATACCATATTTAATATGTAGAATTCCTTCATATTATTGGGGGGAAAAAGAGATTGCATGTTTGCTTGTTTCCTTAATTTTGCACACCTAAAGAATGCTGCCTTAAGACTACAAAACCATTAAGAATAATTCAGCAGTGCTGACACCTGGCTACTGAAGAAGTCCCACAGCACTTCCAGTTCTCATAACCAGTTCTTATTTCCCAGTGGCCACAGCCACTTTCCATCCCTGTCGTGCTCTTTGCTGCTGACAAAGTTGTTTGTGTTTTAATGCAAGGAAAATACAAAAGGCTCCACCATTTACTCCAACTATCACCATGCACCTCAAAGTTAAAGACCAAGTTAAATTCTGTTTGCAACACTCAAGTAAAACGGGTTCAGTTTGTGAGTTACATGGAACAGATGTTTCCTGCTTTTCATACTCCAGATGTTTCTGCAGCCCCAGAATTCACTGGTTCTTACACTTTATGCAATCATAGGATCTTTAAGGTTGGGAAAAAACCTCAAAAAGATGGAGTCCAACCTATCCTACACAGATATCTAAATAGAGACAAGTACATGAATGCCTGGAGGCGAGTTAAGCTCTTACATTTCCCAGTCCATGCCAGGTACAAGATTCCAAATGTGAGCCAGGCACACGCTGCTTCCAACACAGGAGACAGTCTGGTATTTCCTAGAAACCACAGGGCATTTCCTCCTGCTTGGCTTGGCTGTATGTTTTGCCTTCCACAGATTCCCTCTGCAGCTTCCCAATCCCATGATTTGCTCCAGGGACTCCTGGGCTCAGCTCTCACCCAGTGGCCACAGCCCCTTTGGCTGGTGGCTGCCCTTCTAGGAAAGGCACTAACAAATACCAGTGGCTCTTCTCACTTCCCTCCCAACTGTCCATGCTCATTCAGGGTTTTTTTTTTTTTCCACCTTGATGTTTTTTATAAATTTTTTTCAATGCCAATCCCACATCATGAGTTACCCTATTCTCATAATCAATGTGTTTTCCACCGGTTACAACTAAAGCCCGTTACCTCTACACACGGCACCGTTTTATTTGCAATCACTCATGCTGTTTCTGCTAGAAATTAAGACTAAAAAGCTTAGAAGCAGGAGCAGAGAAGCAGCTTTGGTTGTGCTGCAGTGGGGAGCCCTTGTTTACACAGCAGTGAGTTATCAGGGCCCTGGGAGCTGTGCAGGAGGGGTGTGGACAGCCCAGATAACAACGGCTCAGCAGCCACAGGGGTCAAGTTTAGATGCAAAGACACCACTCCTGTGAAGGCTCAGTAATACCTAACAACATTTTACACTGCTGCCCAGAATGACACCATTAGCAGACCTATTTCTGGGTGCTAAACCCAAAACAAGCCTGAAAAAGAAATAAAATTACTGCTTCTGAAGGCGCTGTGAAGTTAAGTTCAATACAACAAACAAAGTCTAAATGTCAGGAATAAAACACTGCAAACTCTAGGAAATCTAGAGTTCTCTGTGTTCTGAAGGCTTTGTTACATTCAGAATCATTATTTCATTTTGCTCCTGGAGGAAGTTGCTTATTTCAAGATGATTGTGTCCCTGACAGGCCCTTTCAACACGTATTTTTTAAGGTGCCAAATGATTAATTGGAAAAAATAAATGCTCTCTAGGTACCAAGCAGAAAAATAAGGAGTGGGAAGAGGAGCTGATCCTCTCCTTGGCTGGTGGAGGAGGTGTTGGCTGGGGGCACCGAGAGCAGTGCAGAAAAGCAATTTATAGCCTGTGCAGCAGCTCAGAGGAGAGGGGGTGCTGAGGAAGGAAGTGACAACAAACCAGGAAGATTTTCCTTGCCAGAAGGTGATTATTAGCAAGAATGAAGAGTTTTAGCTTTTCTTTTGAAGATCTCTTTGCTATTATTGTCATGACACTCCTGAAAGACTCAAGGCAGTCAACACACAAAGCCAGGCAAGGTACAGACGTTTCCTCCATAAACAGAATACTCAGGAAACTGGAAAACCAATAATCCCAAAGGAAAAAGCAGTAAAGAGGGGTCTGGTGTCTTTTTAGCACACAAAATAAACCCAAATTAGAACTTTTCTATTTTACGATGACAGAAAAATCTCCCAAATCAAATAAAACCCATGCCTGATTCAGGTTTCAAATGCTGTAATTATCCAAGCTTTGATGTTTAACTTCCCAATTCTTACACCAGGAACTAGGGATAAAAATCTACTTAATTTTTCTATAAAATTAAGCAGCTGAGCTGTGTCCTGCTTTGCCTCTGGTTCTTCTAAAATGAGCCATTATGATTATGCCTCTTTCAGTCTTCCCTTGGAATTAAGCTGGGCTTGGCTACACTCCAGGGCTGATTACTCCTGCAATTTCCCGTTCCTGAAAATGATGCACACACAACATTGGTCCCACCAGCCCCAAAATTACCCCTAACTCTGGGTCAATGCAGACATTAATGTGCAAAACCCTCCTGCACTGATGGGAAATGAAGACCTGGCACAGGAGGAACCAGAGCTCTGAGAGATCTCCTGAGTCAGAAGCTGCACAGACAGTTTCAAAAATATCTTTGTTTGCCAAGGAGCCCGAGACATCAGCCAGCCAAAGTGACAGCCCACAGCTTGAGTGTGAATGTTCAGAGCTAAATTCCACTGGCATGGGTTGGGTATGAAGAGGAACTGCACAATGGAAGGAAGTTTTGACCATCTGCCTTGTTAATATACAACTCAGAGAAAAAATGGTGCTGATTTCTTGAAAAGGGCTGCTTTTTCTTTTTTCCCCCCGCTTACTTTAATTAAAGAAGCAAAAAATGTGGTCAAATAGCCCCTTAAGTGTGACACTGCATTTTAGCAGAGCTCACAAGTCCTTACAAATCCCAAAAAGTATTCCAGCTGTTCCCCTGCAGCATGCCAGGAAGAGGGCAACAGACCTCCACCAATTCATATCTTATGATATTATTTTGTAGTTGACTGCTTTGAATGAGATGCTGGGCTTGATGAGCACAAGAAGTCCTTTATAACCTAAATTATTCTACAATTACTCTAAGAATTCAAAGGACTTAGAGATGAATTATATATTTTAGAGCACTAACAGAATTATCAGGACATAACATCAGATTGAAACCAACCAACACTGAAAACCCCATTACAATAAGAGAGCTTAAGGGTCACAGCCCACGGATTTTAATTTGGAAGTACCCAAATGCCAAGACAGCAAGTGGGAAGAGGATCCCAGGATTTCCATCTGTACTTACTATCCATCCAATGAATGCTGCCCATAAGGAGTAAGTCATGGCTCCAGCTCCTCTTAATTCCCAGCAATCAGGTGGGATTCAGACTGGTGAGATCAGCCAACTCCTGCTTTCATTAATTGCTGAATGGAGTCAGCGCCTGGGGGAATGCTCCAGGCTGAGGCAGCACCTTCTGCCCCCACCCTCCCTGCTGCAGCCCCAGATAAAGAGTTCCAGGAACTGCCCAGCTGAGCCCAGGGATGAGTTCCAGACCTCCAGCATGAGGGAAGGCTCCCCAACCCTCCCCAACACCCCTAAACAGGACAGCACTGCCCCATCCCTGGAGACTAGCCCCAAGAGCAGGGACAGAATTAAGGGAATGAATCCATCTCAGAACCTCCAGGGCTTTCCAGCCTGACCCAGCCAGGTAAGGAGATGGCAGTGAGGGGCTGTGGAGTCTGCTCAGGTGGAGCATCAGCTCTGGGGTCCCAGCACAGGGGGGGATGTTGGAGTGAGTCCAGAGGAGGCTGTGGAGATGATCAGAGGGATGGAGCACCTCTCCCATAAGGAAAGGCTGGGAATTGGGATTGTTCAGCCTGGAGAAGAGAAGGCTCCAGAGGTACCTTACTATGGCCTTGCAGTATCTAAAGGGGCTCCAAGAGAGCTGGAGAGGCACTTTGGACAAGGGGGAATGGCTTCCCACTGACAGAGAGCAGGTTCAGATCCATGTCAGGAAGAAATGCTTCCCTGCCCATCCCTGGAAGCGTCCAAGGCCAGGCTGGGCAGGGCTTGGAGCAGCCTGGGATAGTGGAAGGTGCCCCTGCCCCTGTCAGGGGCTGGAATGGGATGAGCTTTAAGGTCCCTCCCAACCCAGACCATTCCATGATCCCTCTGGCCCCGGTGCATCCTGGGCTGGGCAGCACAAGCTGCTGGTTTTATGTGAAAAACTGGTTTTATGTGAAAAAACTGGAGCTGCTGCTGCTGCTGCTGAATGCACAAACAGTGCCTGGAGAAACACACGTGTGCCCCATGTGACTGTGAGCACTCACACAGCACATTCAGCTCTCTCAGATCCTAAGGAGCTCCACTGCTCTGCTCAAAAATCCTTTAAATAATGGATGTTTCCCTCTCCCATGGGCAGTGGAGTATGTTCCAGTCCCACAGTACCAAGCATCTCATAAATGCCATCAGGCCTGACAGCCTCCCTGTTGCTATGCAACCCTGGGCTGCCTTTCCATGTGAGTTTTGCCTGCCTCTTCCACAGGGATATGATACCCAACCACCAATTACATCCCTGATGCTAAAGCCTGACAGCATTTCCCTTACGAAACAGGAGTTGTTTTTAGAGGGTGACTGGTGTAATTCTCCACATTTCCATTGCTTCCCATTGCTGCACAGGACTGAATCCCAAACCCTTCTCCCTGGAAAGGCACAGCAAAAACTACAGATGCACTAAAGGAGAGAGGGAATTTGGAGGGGAATGGTTTTAAACTGGCACAGGGCAGGTTTAGATCAGATATTAGGAAAAAATCCTTGCCTGTGATGGTGGTGAAGCCCTGGCACAGGCTGCAGCACCAAAGAGAGACCCAAAGTCCACCCTGCATGGATTCTGGCCACAGCAGAGAATGTGGGCAGAGGAATGCAGATGAAGTTGGTTTTGCCAGGGATCTGGTTACAACCATGCAGGGACATCAGCTCCCTGCTCCTGCCGTGACTCCTGGTGCTGTTCTCCTCCTCATTCCACAGAGGATTTCAAAGACATTTGAGAGTTTGTCATTTTTTTTCTACTCTGAAAATCGAGCTGCTCTGCCTGGCTGTGAACACTCACCACACACAGGTCAGGTGGTTCAGGGCAAGGCTGAAGATGGAGCAGAGGCTGACCCAATGTGCAAAAAAGCAGATGAAAATCTAATTCTAAATATAAGCCCTGCTAGGGCTGAGTGAGCCACAACAGCACTTCCTCTGAGAGGTGGGAGTGTACAACACCACGGCACAGCACAGGAACTAGCTGGGAACATCTTTAAAACCTCTCCTATGTCATCAGATTAAATTTCCTTTTCAGCCTGAGGCAGCCAAGCTGATAAGGAATGAAGCCCTAAGAAAGCCAAGGCAGCAGGAAGGAGCCAGAGGCTGGGTCAGGAAGATCCTGAGCAGTGAGAAGGAATCCAGGCTCTGCCCAGGGCACGTGTAACTCCCACCAGAGTTAATAAAACCTGGAACAGGATCCCTCGACTTCAACACTGCAGGAGGCACAAGCCAGAACAAGGCAATTTCATTCTGGGATGCCAAGGAGGGGATAGATTTGCTTTTTTTGAAAAGCTGCATAGTTGAAATCAACACCTCCTACTCCAAATGCTGCATTTCACAGCTCTTCTACACAGCTAACGTCTCTCCACATGAGACACGAGTTAAACTTCAAACAAACATTTCTGGGGAAAAAAAGCCCTCCTTAGCTTAAAGCCTGGAATTAAAGATGTAGAGAAAGTGATAGGATTTCCTGACAACAAGTGAATAAGAAACTTGCTCAACACACGGCTCAGGAGATGTTTTAGGAGACAGCAGTCAAAACACACACACAGTCACCCCCCAGTGAACGCCAGGAGTGCTTCCCAAAACTTTCACAATATTACCAATTTCAATAAAAATGGATTGCCAGGATAGGGAGGCTGGGAGGCCATGGCACAGGGTGCCCAGGGAAGCTGTGGATGCCCCTGGATCCCTGGAAGTGACCAAGGCCAGGCTGGAAAAACCTGGAATACTGCAAGGTGTCCCAGCCCATGGCAGAGGGTGGGACTGGGTCATTTAAAGCCCCCTTTCAACCCAAATTCTCCTGGGAGTCTATGATTCTAAGGCTTGCATTCAGAGAAGTTTTTGTATGATACAATTTATTTCCCCTGAAAGCTGTCACTTACAGCTTAAAAAAAAAAAATGGCAGCAAGGTGGATGAGCAGAAAATATCAGCTCTAAATCCATTAATTCTATTTTCTTCTTGTTTAAGAGCATGGTAAAAATCAACTCCTTGCAGTCAGCATAAGTGAAATCACAGAGTAAAGTCGTTTAAATAATTATTCCTGCCAAAATAATGAGAGAACAACAAAGGCAGCCACCAAATGCCCATCACTATGGGTTTCTGGCCCAGATTTATCTGTCAGCTACGTTCATGGCCTGTTAAACCAAAGAGGAGTTATTAAGAATGAAAAAGCAGGAACTGTTTCAGCACTGGCCCTTGTATCTTCATTAATTAAACTGAACAGCTTCACTCCTCCCCTCAGCCCCAAACAAGACAAACAACTCATTTTTAAAGCCTGCTTGCTGCAAACTTGCTTCCCCTTACCCCAACAGCTCCCTGGGAATTTAAAGATTAAATTGAAAGATTAAAAATCCATTTACTGATAGTACCAAAATATTATTTTTGAGAACAACTCACTGTGTTCTCACTGAATATTAGGGCAGAACAATTCAGCAACTATTCACCGTAGGGCCTGTACCTATTCCAAGTTCAGAATCAAAGTGCCAACTTGTAGTAATTTCTCTTTACAAATCATTTGTTGAAGGATGTTCACCACAAAGGACAAACTTTTTGCAGATAGATTAGGGTACAACATAACAGGCACTGCAGATCAAAGCTCTTTTATAAGCAGAGACACAGCCCAGGTGAATGCAGGTGTGGAACTCAAATCAGGACCCTGCCCTGCTCCAGAAAGAGATATCCTGTTTGATAGGAAAAGGCAGAGTCCACCAGCTTTCCCCAGCAACAAGCTGTACAAGCTTAGAATAAAACATCTGGGAAGACGAATAAAAACTAGGATGGGAATTTCAGCCTCTAGCAGGGAAAGGGCTGTGGGATGCAGCAAAAACCCTCAAAAGGACTAAGTGGCCTCCCAGCACATCTGGGACACACGTATCAAACAAATCACTCCACTTCCACCTTTATTTTGGAATTAAAAACTGAATCCAAACTAAGTACCAGATGAATTTTGAATGAAAACAACATTTTCTTAGACTGCCCAGTACACCAAGAGCAAACCACTGCTAAATGCACTTAGGTGTTATTTTTAGCATGTATCAGAGCAATTTAGGTAAAGAACATCGACCACACTCAGCCCCAGAATTCATCTTTGCTGTTCTTTGTGAAACACCTCTGAGGTTTTCCATTACTTTTTTTAGCAGTATAAGTGGAGCCAAGGGAATCAAACAGCTTGCCCTGGTTTTATTGTATGGCAACAAACCTCGAGACCTAGAACAGTGCTGGCTGTGAAACCAGATCTCACACCTATAATAGAACCATGACCGACAGACCCTGATTAAATCTGAGGCCATGTTTAATGCATGTATCTCTGCTCCTCTTACAAAGACACCAAGCTGATGACATGAGATGAAAATGGACAATTAACTCCATCAAAATACCTGAAAGAAAAATCAGCTTCTATTTAAAAGGTCTCACTGCAAAGCAAAAGCTTCTGCAAGCTCAGCTATGGATTCGCAGATGTGAGGGTGAAGAAGTTTACTCAGTGACTTAAATTGTGCTGCCTGAGTTGAATTTGGAGAGCTTTCTGTGCTTTGTATGATGCCAAGTCCTCCACCAGTGGCTGCAGGGAAGGGAGGTGGAAGCCCTTGGCTGTGTCAGGCAGGAGTTCATGGGCATGGCTGCTCCTTCTTTAAAAACTCCATCGGCCCCCAGTGTCTGCTCTACACTACAGCCCCAAAGCAGCACAGAAATCAGTTTACATGAATTACACACTTTTTACTCATTCCATAGTTATTTGTTGCACAATGTCAGTAGTTCTAAGGACTGAGACAGGACCCTGTTGCAATCAGGTAAAAAATACCAGCTCCAGGTCTGTATTCAGCAGTTGTTTACCACAGACACAATGGCACCAACCACAAACTTCTTGGAGTGCTCAGACCTTAAGTTTGAGCCCAAGTGAAACCAAATTCCCACATAAAGCCAAGCACAAGCAGAATTCCTGCTGAAACAGAGGAACAGCAGCTCCAGCACTTTCACCAGTGACTTAAGTGAAAAGGTCACCCTGTGTCTCCTAATTTCTGCTCTGTAAGCAGTGCTGGGTAGGACAGCAGAACATTTGTCCTCTGCAGGTTTCACATTCCCATTTTTCAGCCTTCTTCTACACAAGTTGTTCATTCAGGTGATTCCAATAAATCTAAACCACCAGCTTAAAAAAAAAACAACAAGAGAACTTCACCATGCTAACACTGTAACAGTGGTTACCAAATATTTTCTTCTTCATTCTTTTGTGCTTACTTGACACTATTTTCTTTCCCAGTCTGTCCAAACAGGACATGGATAGCAAGCTGGGACAGAAATGCTCTACCCAGTGCTGATAGAGAGCAGTGGAAAGTGCCATATTCAAACACCACACCTGCCCAAGGAATGCAGCGTCACCTGCGCTCATTCCCTGAGCAAACCCCGCCAGAGCTGCCTGTGTTTACACTTCACAGTGAGTAACTGTTTTGTTTAATAATAAAAAAAAGAAACAAAAAACATTTTAGCCACTTCAGAGAGTTTGGATTTACCCACATGTTGGCACCAAGGCTTGGGGCCCCTTTCCACACAACTCAACCACAGCCACTGGTCAAATACTGGGTTTAAATCACCAGTTTCAGCTCCTCTCCATGAAATAAACAGAATAAACCAGATTTGCTTCCCTTTCACTCCCTATCACCTCAAACCTTCGCTGCTTTGCAGGATGTGCCAGAACTAGAATTGGGGGTGTCAGCAATGGCCAGGAAACTCATGGCAGCTGCAGCCCTCAAGAAATCAGCCTCTCCTCCACCTCTTTGCCATGCCATGGAACACAAACAGTCCTTCCTGCAAATAACCTGGAGACCAATGGAAAAGGGAGGGGAAAAGGCTCTGTGTGGCACAGAGCTCTGGAAAACCAAGAGCTCTTCACCTTTCCTTTGCTCCCAGGAAATGCACCCTGTTTGCCACACAACAGCCTTCACAAGCCACATTGACCCTACTGCTTCTATGGCATGGAAGTAGGAAGCATTCTGAGAAGAAAACACCTATTTTTCAATAAAAGAAGGAAATAATGATCAATTACATCACCTGCACAGTGACAGCACTTCACTCTTCTTACAAATTTAGCTTCAGGCATTTTTTACTAGAAAATCACAAATACTGAAGCACGCCCAAAGCCATGCTGGCCAGCTGGGGAACTGACCAACACCAGCCCACTTTCAGCCTAACTTTCTAATTTCAGACCAGTAAGTGTCCTACCTTACAGTCTTGCTTCAAAATCAACCACATTTTTCCCACTCCCCAAACCTTGAAATGGAAACATCCACCTGTGCTGCAGGAAGAAAGCAGCTGGGAGCAGACAGACAGACAGCACTATCTGGAGGTGTTTTGGGGGCTGTTTTTAGATGGGAAAGCAGACAGGAGGGAGGTTTTGTTAGGAGATTAAATGCTGCAACAAACCCGAGGGTTTGCACTGATTTTTTTTTTCCCTTGAGGGTCTCAAAAAGGTGCTTACAAGCTCGGGGGGCTCTGAGCTGGGCTGCCTCTTCCTCAGAGAGGAAAACCTCTGCTGACTCCGCACTGAAAACCTTCGGAAGGACTCTCTGCTCCGGGATGCAAAGTGCCTGAAGGAAGAGGTTCTCTTGAAAGGAGTCCTGGTGCCACCTTCCCCTCCACTCCGCTCATGAGCCACCGCAGTAGTGACTAAATTTAGTGCTTCCTGCAAGGATCTCCGCACTGTGCCCATCCACTGGGTCATGTGAGTTTGTGCCACTGTCAGTTTGTCTCCAAGGTAATCCATTTTTTAAATTTTTTTTTTCCAGCAGAGATGAAATATCAATATTCAGTAGCAATTAAAATATATTCTCCTTAACAACCCTGATTTATTTTGCGAAAAGTGATTCCGTGTATAAAATATTTCCAGCTAAGGTAAACAGTATTGCACTATCACCCTCAGCATATTCCTAAAATTAAATAACCAAAGATGTGAGGTGGGAGATTGGTATTTGTCAAGTAGGAAAAAATAAAAGACTTTTCCTACTTACAATCGGCTTTGCAGAGTTCCATCAAAATATGTTTAATTCAGCCATGTTAAAGAGATAAATCAATGTTTAAATCCTGACACAGTCACTTGAAACGAGTCCATTTGCAAGCAGAGAATTAGGTTTTCACTCTCTCATTTCAGAGCAGGAAAAGCAACTCCCTTTTTAAGCCAAGTTTTTCTTCTGCTGTAAATATCAGAAGGATAAAACAAATCTTATTCTCCTGGCTCGGCCACTCGACAGGTGAGCGTACACTGACCAAAGTTCTGGTGCTCCTATACAATCCATTTAGCAGCAAATCGATTAGATCTTCTAAACAATAAATCCAGCTCCTCCTCAGAAAACTCTGCAGCAGGCTGTCAGCAGCAGAATCCCCTCCTCACCACCATCCTGGCTGCCTCCGGAGCCATCCTGGAGCTCTCCCGGGCAGAACTGCGGAGCGGAGCGCAGGGAAACGCGTCCAGCCCTCCCCGCGGGGCTGCTCAGAGCCTGCCAAAAGAGCTGCTGGATGACATCAGCTCCTCTGCTTCCAAGGGGGGGGGGGGACAAACACAGGGACTGTCCCCACTCCTCCTGTGCTCACATGGCTCTGGATGCACAGCTGTTTGCAGCACGGCTGCCTCCCAGGCTGGCTCTGCTAAGGCACACGAGGTTACCAGCAGGAGAACGCTGCTGCTGCTGCCGCCTCTGGAATGCTGAGCCCTCCTCTGTGTCCCTGTGCTCCGGGGAGGAAACAATGAGGAGGTGACCAGCCTGCAGAGGTCTGCCCAAGGAAGGATCTGGGCTGGGCTCTATTATAGTACAGGCAGGGTTCCCATGGCAACGCAGGGAACAGCATCTGCTGGCTCCGGAGCAGGCAGGAGTTGCACAGATCTATTGGAATGATTCATAGTTTGCATACGTCACGTGGACTTACTGATTTTAACCCTTCCTGGGGAACGTGGCTCTGCCAGGGAAGGTCTCACACCCACACCAGAGGATTCCCACTGGGAATCCTACACCTACACCCTTGTCCTGCTGCTCAGTGGGCACCTGGGCAGTGCCAGCACCTGTACCTGGTTCACTGTGCCATTCATGGCCTCCAAGAGGACATGTCCCAGCCAGTGACTGCTATCAGCACAGGATAATGATTAAGCCAGAGGCTCAAACCAAAGCTGAACAGGTGTGACCATTGGAAGCTGGTTTTTTCCACTTTTCTGCACCATTCCCTGTTATTTATGAGGAATGGCTCCATGTCTTTCCTAAGCTCTGCTCCTTCCCCAGCTGCTGGGAGACCACAGGGTTGGTACCACAAACCCAAAATGATTGAGGGTAACGAGAGGACCCCCAAGTGTCACCAGCCATGGAATCCTGGGAACAGCCCACTTGAGAGGACAGCAGGAATAAAAGCTTTGAGTTAAACTGAGATTTATTGATTTAATGACGTAAGCTTGGACTTTAAAGTCCAAAGTCAAGCTGTGACTAGTTCAGGACCAAGGGGAAAGAGGCAAGACAGGCACGTTGGGAGCTGCTCGCTCTCTTGTTTGTTTAAGGGGGTTTGTGGCTGTTGCTTAATTTGCCATACAAAGTACCATGAACTTGCATCACCCTCTGCTCCTCTGAACTATCCAGGAAGAGATTCAATGGAAGAAAAAATTTCTAGATAACATTTGATGCAATGGTTCTTGCGTAAGGTTCATTGTATCAGAAATGTGCCTTGCAGACACGCATGAACCCAAGATACCCTGAGCAAACAGGGTGCCTTCCCTTTTAATCCCTGTTTTTAGCAGCTCAGCTCCAACTTGTAACTTATCTCCAGGAAAAACTTCACTGACAACTATGTAGCATTCTCTAACTTATCCTCATTTCTGAATGTATTTGTTTTGAATGTGTGCGAATTAGCAGCCTTATAAAAGCCCTCAGTAATCAAAGGAAATCCAGCCAACAGACAAAATCCTTTTTTCCCCCCCGCCTCACACAGCTCTTCTCTTAAAGAGTTACAGGGTTATTTTTGTATGGAAATGGAAAGAGATAGTTTTGACCAGATTCCCCAAGAGCAGGGTGTTTCTTAGATTTGTAAAGAAATAGGAAAAAAATAAATTTATCTACCAGAGTTATAGATAATCCTTCACCAACTATGGAGATCCTGCACCCAAGGCTGGAATTTAAGACTTGGTGCACATTTTCATGCTGTTAAATTTAAGTGTGAAATTTCAAACATCTGTGCCTTTGCAAGTGCAGCTCTGTGCCTGCTGCAGTGCAGGGATTGTGCACGGGGCACTCTGCCATTCCAGAGGGTTTCAGGCTCCATCTGATGCAGGAGCCCCTGAAATAGCAGCCCAAGAGCTCTGCCTGGAGCTGCCATGTGAGTTAGTCAGCAGTTCCTTCACCTCACCAGGATGGGCAGAGCAGAACATAAATTTAACTCCCCATCTGGAATATCACCTGGGGCAAACAGGGGGAGAGGCAGAGCCAGATTTCACCCAGGATGCAGAGAGCAAAACGTTCCTACAGCTCGCTGCAAGGACTCCTCACATGTGCGTGGAACTTGAAGGATCTGAAAATGCTCTAGAGAATATATTCTACTTTTTTATTATACCTCTCCTGAAAAAGAATGTTATACCAAATATACAATTTTTGTCCTCAGAAGATTGGAAAACTGCTGACTTGAGTCTTTCTGCAATACTAAATTTAGGATCTTCTGGCACCACGTGAACACACTGCTGGGTATTGAAGCATCTAAATTACTGCTTAGATTTACACCTCAATTAACATCAGGGCAAAATGCTTTGGAGAATAATCCAGATGAACCTTCACCATCAAATTCAAATAGTCAAGAGATTTTTCCAGCACTTCAGCTAAACTTGCAGGGGAGTAGAACAAGATGAGCTTTAAAGTCCTTTCCCTTGGAGGCACCTCCCACTATCCCAGGCTGCTCCAAGCCCCATCCAACTTCCCTGGCCTTGGACACTTGCAGGGATCCAGGAGCAGCCACAGCTTCTCTGGGCACCCTGTGCCAGGGCCTCAGCACCCTCCCAGGGGAGGATTCTCTAACTGGCCCCCAGCCCAGCAGTGCTGGCTGAGTGAGGGTTTGTTCCTGAACAAGAACAGCACAAGATGATCTTCTGCCCTTGACAAATTCAAGTGATTATCTCACTCTGGGGCTGTCAGGGATCTGCAGCTCCAGAAAACAGAGCACATACACACAGCTACCCAAACTGCATGACTAATTACCTCAGTATAAATGGGACCTCGTTATTCAAACATTGCTGGATACTTCCATTATTAACATCTATTCCACCTACAGCTCAAAACCACAACCCTGCACAAAGGCCTAACAACCCTTGTTTCTCCCCTTATTCAGTAGAAAACAAAATTCCATGGTTACATTATATTTTCCAAAAGCCTCTTACAGCTCATTTGGAGCCTCACCTGCTCTCAAATACATGTAATTATGTTAATGACTCTGTGGGATTGCAAGGTCAATTTAAAGAAGGCCCGAAAGCAGCAGAGCACAGCACACACAGCCCAGGAGGGACAGGGGGGACTTGGGGCCTCTCTATGGGTGTGAGTCCTTCCAGCCCATGGGGTTCCCCTGCCACCAGCTCCACCCCAGCACCATGGAATGGGGAAGGAAATCCAGCTGAAGACCCACCAGAACACCTGGGAGCAGTTTTCACCTCAACTGGGTCCCCTGAAGGATCCTTTGCCAGCAAAGCAGATGGGACAGAAGGATGGGCAACCTTAATCTGGACTAAGTGTGACAACAGTTTCTGCTCTTCCCTTGTGGCAACCTCAGTCAGGAATTCACTCTCTGATGGGTTCCTCCTATCACCTCCTCCCCCAATCACTCCAATTAGCAATTAGCATTAATTCAGGCATTTCCAAAGGATTTTCTGAGCCATCATCCCACCTACAAACAGCAGCACCCAGCACTTGTGAGGACCACAGCAGCTCCAGTCCCACCTTGTGACACCCTCAAGAGCAGAGCCTGCCCTTGTAAGGCTGTCCCAGCCCTGCATTCCACACCAACTCTCCTTCTGCTTCATTAGTAAGAGAACTTAATTTAACCTCTTGTGCTTGGCATGATGGACTATTTAAAGATGCAGCACTGGGCTGGGCTCGGTTGCATGGCTCCAGACTAAATTACTCTTGGGCTCCTCAGACATGACAAACAACTCATGGCTTTATGGGCTCCTCATTTTTGCCTCCTCTGTCTTCTGCGTTTTGCCAATGGAATTGTCACACTCCAAGAAGGAGCAGCAAGCATTCCTTACTACTACATGCAACACCCCCATCATGAAGATTTTACCATATCACCTTCCAATTCTCATTTAATGTACAAAATAAATGCTTGGCTGCACCTCTGGCAGAGAGAGAGCAGAGCTCAGCAGCTGGAGCAGAGGAGCTGCTCCATGGCAGATACCCAGCTTCCCAATCCAGGAATTCCCAATCCAGGAATTCCCATGGCACTTAAAACCACCAAGACATTTTGTCTTTGGCTGTGCTATCTGTTCTGTTTTGTGGGGTTTTTTTAAAATTTTCATGGTGATATAATAATGCAATTCACTGAGATGCCCCAACAGCCTCACCTGTAGAAAGGCACTCCACAGTCAAAGGAAAAAGGGAAAAAAACCAAGAGAAAGGAAAAAGAGTGGAATGGATGGAGTGTTTGAACACAAGGACTTTGGACAGTGTCCATACAGAGAAATCTCTTTTGTAACCTGAACCCCCAGGTATCTCAATATTTACACCAAATATTTGTTTTTTATTCTTACTTTCATTTTCTACTGAAATTAAGCAAGTTACACTCATTGCTACAGTTCTAATTAAATTAAAGGTTATTCACAATCTT